ATCATGTGCAGAATAATCACAACAGGAGCAGAAATTCATCCAACAGAGCCACATGCATTCTCTAAAAAAATCTGCCAACAATCCGCATCCATGCACAGCAGATTTGAAGAGCTTTCATTCAGACAACTGCAACTGGAGATTAACTGAGAACATTTGTTAACACCTAAACATGTATGTGTGATCTGCCTGATCTCCTTTGTGCCTTTTTACTGTAGCAGCTTCACTTAGAGCTATGGATCATTTTTTCCTCCCCACCCAGCCCTGCAAAACTGCTAATAATCAAACAAGAAAGATCAGAGCATCCCTTCTGCGATGGCTCCACAGCTCAGAAGGGACAGCTCTGGCCAGGGAAAATGCCTCACTCAGATCTGAAACTCTGTATTTCCCCATCTCACACAACAGTTTGCAGCTCACAGAAATGTTACAAGAACATCATCATCATATTTCATGATCACACAGGCAACAAAATCAAGGTCAAGCCCTTATTTTTCCCCCATTAATCATGTTGCTGCACTGTCCCACATAGGAAACAAACAGATGGAATTTTCTTGAAATAACACACCTTGCCTTTGAATTTAAAGGCAAAATCTTTGTAGTTTCCAGGTGAACTGTGCTAATATTCCTATGCCTCAATAAAACCATAAATCTGACATGCCTTCACTCCATGCCCTACTTTACATGCTTCATACAAAAGCAAGTAAAGCAGTTGCTCAGCCTTTATGCGTAATTTCTAACCGAATATAGTACATGCTGCTCCCAAACAGCTTTGCTAGCTCGTATCATAGAACCACAGAATCTTTGGGTTTGAAGGGACCTTCAAATGCCATCTAGTCCAACCCCCCCCTGCAATGAGCAGGGACATCTTCAACCAGGTTGCTCAGAGCCCCGTCCAACCTGACCTGGAATGTTTCCAGGGATGGGGCATCTACCACCTCTCTGGGCAACCTGTGTCAGTGATTCACCACCCCCACTGTGAAAAATTTCTTCTTCTTACCTACTGTTCATCTACTCTCTTGCAGTTTAAAATTGACTGCAGGACATCAGAAGACATCAGAAGTCTGGCTTTCTGAAACACGCCCGAGGCAATGGTATGTTAACCCATTCTTAAACCTGAATTTTAAGGGACAGCTCAGAGAGTGGATTAGCCATTGCTGCCATGCTCTACCACATGAAAAAGAATCCACCTCTCTCAGGGGGTATGTCTCCACTCCTCTATGTCCTCAACTTCATGAGGGCAAAGGACAATATTCAAGTCTGATTGCCCACAACTAGGTAAAGCATGATGCCAATATTGAGAAGGATGGAGCACACCCTGCTTTTCCATCTGAAATTAACACCCATTAACTGAAAGTGCACACCAACCCAACCTGATTCACTGAACAGGGGCTGAAGAAACCAGTGGAGCAGCAGCATTACCTTCCTGTAGCACCTACCCAGTGAAACAGGACCTCTGTTTAATGACGCTTGTCAGCTTCCTCTACCATGAGGACTTCCCAGAATATCATCTTTAATTTAAAAACCCAAACCCAGCCTTTGCAATTAAGAACCAATCACAGACTACTCCTAGCTCTTGAAAACAATCTTTAGTGTGACCAGCAATGGGAAGAACCTGACTTTTGCAGGAAGTTCTAGCTTCTGGTGAATATGTTTGATAAAGGCAGTACGAGTTCATCTTAACTTCTGCTATGCAGCTTGTTAAGATTTTCAGAGAAAATTCCAGCACTATTTGCTGATGTCCTACTTCTTAACTTGCTTCTCGCATATTATAAAAAAATCAGTTAATGGGCAAAATTCAGAAGCAATGAACATTTACCAAGGGAAGACACCTCCAGCACCACTGAAATAGAGATCTCTACCCTCCCCCCCCTTTTTTTTTTTTTTGAAGAAATGCACAAAAAACCTACTCATTTTTGTGCACCTACTGACAAACTGAACTTTCTGTAAATTATAAAAGTATGACTAGAATAATTCTTGATGAATACAACCTTAGCCACAGAGCAGTTACAGACAGCTCTGTTATGTTACACCTTTTATTACACTATTATCGTATCTGATATGCATAGTTATGCATATAAGCTAATACCAAGAAAGTGAACAGTCATCATTTTGAGACATGTGAGTTTGAGAATGATAATGTCTCTTACTCCCTGGAGTGAAGACAATATTGTCCTCACAAAATTCTTAGCAAAGTTATTCATAATTTTATTACAACCATTCACAGAGTATTAGGTTGGCACTATGTCATAAATGTAACTTAAACAAGAAGAAATACACTTGACTCAAAGTTAATATTTTTGTGGTATCCTAACAATTTTCTTTTAGGTATTGATTTGTAATCTGATTTGTTATATCTAACCCAAATTTGCTGAGTTGGGTTTCGTGATTTTGCTTTTTTAAAGCCACTTTAGGAATAAATCCTGGATACTTTACCACTGAATATACTCCTAAACAATGGTACAATCTTTGTTCATCAATGCTACGATACCCCCCATTGCAACTATAGCAGTAAGAAATAACATTTGACTGAATTTTATAGCATATTATTATGCTAGAATATGCCACTGAAGAAGTGTCTTCCCAGCTTCAGGCAACTATGTTGGTAAATATCATGAATCATTAACAGATCTGAAATAACTATTCCCGTATAACAAAAGCATTATCATATTTTCAGTTCCATTACTCTCTATGTAACATTGCAACCCTTGATTTTTTTTTTCTTTGTATGTCTATAAACATAGGATATACCCTTCATGGACCTAGCTGTAAAATCTACTCCCTTTTCCTGAAATGCTTAGAAACACACCAACACATACAGAAAGCTCAAACTACTTTTTCCAACATAGAGAATTACGTCTCTTACACTGCTCGGTCACCTTTTGTTAGGCTCCCTGGTTAAAACTAATGAAGCGTAGAAGGAACAACTCTTTGTGAAATGCTGTAGACACTCATTAACCAGGCTACCCAGCTCTTTCTCCCACAGCACTAACAATGGTGTGAATCCAGTCATCTTAAGGAATTATTCTGTGTTTTCTAGATTTTTTTTTCTAAAAATCAGTACATTATTGACTTTCTAAATAGTATCTAGTCACTTACATGGTGCCATACTCAGCCTGATTTATTAATGAGCACAGTCCCAAAGTGGCAGACATCCTTTTCATCAACACAGATGTGGACCACACTGGCCCTCCCACTGAAGACCTATCTGTTCCATGATCCAGGACATCAACATTAAAAGACACCAGAGCCCTGACCAGCAGGATCTGCTTCTCTTTGAGTGGACTCAGGTAGTTTACCCTCTCAGTAACACTGGCTCACAGAACTAGAAAACCTGAATCTTCTTTCTTGCTTAGTGCAGAATTAAGGCACCCATTAGGTCCTGCAGGTCAACCTGCATGACCAGCAGTGCAACTGGATTTCTGTCATCCCATGAAAAACACAGGGGTGTACCCATTATACCATTGGTAATGGCCAAGAAGCTGCAAGGCAACTGAGAGGTAAGCACATGTCAACAACTAAAAAGGATCAGTTTTAAGCATCTATCGTATCCTTCACATATCAGTTATCTGCAAGTTGCTATGCAGCACACACCTCTGTAGTGCCTGCATCTGTAAAATTCCAGTTACATTGCAGTTGCTCCTCTCAGTTTTTTTGTCTTTTGAATTAAAATGGAGAATTGCTGCTGCCCGTAAAAGTGTATGTGCCATTATATGGCACCTATTTGAATGAACAGGAAATCTGAAAGCACAATCAATGCTAATTAGCCAGCTTCACTGACAGTAAGTAGAAAGTCTTAAGGGTACTGACATAAATTAAAATAGAAGAATAACTTCTTTTGAAGACATTAAAAATTAATTCACACTAAGGCTGACAAGTGTGAATATTTTCAGGTTTAAAGACAAATTAATACGTTCTAAGGCAGAACAACAATGCCACCCCAAACACAGTATCATCAGTGTCATGCTGTAAAGTAGAGCCTGTCCTATTCTATACTTTCTAAATTTTACAGCCTTTGCATGCCCTAAGGGACCAGTCATTAAAAGGTCACTTCAGAAATAAATTACTTTCTCCCGCCTGCCAGGTTTCTATGAAGTAAAAACCTAATGTTAACACCTCCCCACAGCAAGGTATTTATTGTCTGTTCCAGAGAGGGCAAGCAGGGCTATGAAGCTGATAGCAATAACACAGGCACACAATGAAAAGCAGAAAAATGAGAGAATTGAATACGTACAGCTGGGAAGACTTCCTCTCTACCATGCACACTACCTCTAGCCATAAGCACAAATAAAGGCACCAAACAAGCCTTCTCTTACCACCCTTTGCCTTCTCTACTCATTTCTCTATAAAAGATGTTTCTGGAAACTTAAGTCTGCTAGGACAAGAATCAAAATCCTAATCAACAAAAAATTATGCTTGAAACAGATGAACAGGTATGATACACAAATATTTTCAGGAAAGCAAGAGTTCCATAAAACCAGTCTTTCTTCTTGGGTAAGCCTGTTACTTTGGATAGATACTCCTCACCAAAGCAAGGATTCTAGCAACTCCTCCTCCTCTACAAAACTGGCACAGAACTGCCCTTTTCATTAGAAAAATAACAAATAACACTCTGACTTACAGCAACCCTTTCCTGAATTTACTGAAATCTCTAACACCTGAACACAAAGACTTAGGGTGTCAAATACAAGCATTTAAATCAATCTCCTTTTCTCTCACAAGAAGCATGAAATTCAAAAGAACAAGATCAAAAGAGCAGTATTATTTATAGCCATCTCCCATCTGCTCATTCATCACAATGTTGACAGATTTATAAATTGACTAGACTTGAGTAGGCAATACAATTCAGCTAGAATATGTATAAGTTTGAACAGCAGGCAGTCATCCTTCAGTTTGAACAATCTGCCAGTAGACAGAAGAAAGGAATGGGAAAACACAAATATGGTGCACAATCTCACAGACTGGGAATACTCAACACGCAGGAAGCAAAACCAAACACCACTTACTTCAGATTTGGACATGTTTTCCTCCACGTCAGAATCATTGGGATCTACAATATCATCAAATGGTGGCAGAGTAGGCGTTTTCTTTTCCAGTGCATCATTTTCAATTTTGACTCTCCCCACCTTGAGTTGAGATCTATCCTTTGTCTGTTTTTTGTCAGCTGAACAAGTAAGAATCAGTGGTGGGGTGCTAGAAAAACTTTTAAATAACAAATCTGAGCCACTTTTTTTTCTTTTTTTTGCAGTGGGTTCATCAGAGTCCAGAACAGAGGGCCTTTTTGTGGGGGCCTTCTTTTCTTGCTGCTGCCCAGCTGTTATGGTAAGGATGGGGGTGTTTTCAGATTTTGGCTCCTTGGACACGGGCTTGGGTTCCTTGAAGGCCATCTTAGGAACTATTTTTTCACCTTTTAGTGGTTTGTTTTCTTTGGGTTTCTTAGAGGATTCTTTGGAAGATTTATTGTGTTCCCTGGAAGGTTCTTTAAAGGCACTTTTATGTTCTTTTGAGTCTTTAGAAGTTTTTTCCTTGTGCTCCTTTGTTAACTTGTGGGTCTTTGAAAAACTGTTACTACTACTGCTGCTGCTATTTGTGTTCAGAATCCTAGCTGGGTCCTGCAAAAACGAGATGCAAAATTTTACTTGCAGAGAAAGAGAGCGCGAGAGAGAAAGAGAGCGCGAGAGAGAAAGAGAGCGCGAGAAGGAGAAAAAGAAAAAAAGAAAAAAGAACTCTAAAAGCCCCAAAAGACAGACACACTATGGATACAGCATTCATAGTAAAAAATTGGGACTGCAGGTTGAAAATCAGAAACTGCAAATACCTGTATAAGAACAGATATAAACCCCCTCATTTTGGTCATCTGTTACGAAGTGGTGGAACATAAGCAGTTACCACTGCTTGTCAATAGATGCGAGACGAATTAGTTTTGATCTTAAGAATTAGATATGTTTTTTAAGAAACATCATAAGATTAACATAAAGACAGCGCGTTAGGAAATGTTAACCATGACCACTAGCTACCAGAAACAAAAAATGATAAGGAAAGATCAGGATATGAACCATATACTGTCAACAGAATTATTTCAGGATCAGAAGTAAACATGTGCTCCTGATGGCACTTCAGGCAAAGCTTGTCTTCTCTACTGTAATCCTTTCTCCAGCTTTTGCCAGATCCTTCTCCTCATACACAATAAAAACTCTGGGTCCAGCCTGGCTATGGAAGACTTCATTTGACACACAACATCTCAGCAGTCAATGTCTTCTTATGGAAAACCTCCTTTACTAAAAAAGCTTTCTTCTTTGTATTTATTGCTGCTGTCTCTGCTGAGCATTTCACTGCAGTTTTTAAAATTCAACTGTTAAAAATGGGAAGGTTTCTGAGAGGGTGATAACTCAGAGGTCCTCTAAGGTAGGCAAAAGCAGAAAGAGCAGAGCAGTATCATTCCTCACTCGGCTGTTTCTTTGGTGGAATCTGAAAAGTCACGAGTAGCACTGAAAGAGGTGATCTGCAGCTAGAACCAGCAATATGAGAACTGCACCGGAATGGGTCGTACCGGATCCTTTCTTCTGAGAATTAACACCCAGGAAGTTCCAAAAGATGAAGAAGGCTTCAGCACCACTCAGTTCCACTGAAACTGCTAGCAGTGGGTGTACTCAGCCTCTCAAAAATACCCAGTAGCCTAACTCTACTGTTACAAACACTGAACACGTGTAGCACTCTTCCCAGAAACAAGCTTCATTTTCTTAATGCTTCAAATCTGCCAAGTAACATTTCAATATACAGGAACCTACCGTCAACAAGTTTAGGTTACTTACTTACTTATAAGCTGACTCTAAGCATTTCTAGCTATATATTGTCTCACACTGGAGAAACTTTCAGAAAGAAACACTTCAACAAATATATTGCATACACCTGTCGGTTTCCTTTCCCTTTACCTACAACAGAGGTTTAAATGGTATAAAAGTGAAAATACTAAAACCGGGGGGGGGGGGGGGGGGGGAAAAAAAAAGGATATCAAGCATGAAACCTGATGTATTGTGAAATTTCTAAAAATCATAACTCCAGGTATAGATTTATACCAAATGGGACTTCATTAACAATACCAAGCTGAAGTAACACAAAAAAGAACCCATACTAACCTAGAAAATAAAAGTATGTAAAGTTTTATTCCTGATGTAAAACTGTAAGACTTCACCCTATGAACCTAGGAAAGCAATCCCTCTTGAAGACATGATACTACCTACATGCTACATGCCATGCCACTTATCACACCCTCCAACTCCCAAATGATCAGCTCATGACTGGCAGACAGGAATAGCTTTAGGGAAATTACATGGCACACTGTCAGTGTGCCAAAGGCTCCCATGCTCCCACCTTACTTGCTGGTAACTATACATCTTATAGCCCAAGAGTCTTTAATTAGAACAAGAAAATTACAGTATTTGCCAGAAGTCGGAATATATTTAGTTAGGGGTGTCCCAATACACAGTTCTAGAATCATAGTTAATGAAATTCTTAGGTTGAAATTCTTAGGTTGAAAATAACATCGTCATTGTTGATGAACAATACTTACAATAAAGTGTTCTTACAACGTAATTTTTATGCAAAGAAAGCATTTTTGGAAATGGGAAACTACTGAAAAGGGTGCTAGTCAGTATAAATATTACAAATGCACTTCCGGATTTGACTTTCAATAATTTGGTTGGTTATTCATCCCAGTCCTTTGCAGGCTGCAGAACAGAGTAGTGTCCAAAATTCTCTCATCTGTGTAAGACTGGATATGCTTTCATCTGTATAAAATCCATGTACAAATCCCTAGCTCTCTTCTATCTTCTAGCAATCCACACTTCCCATTCTTACAGTGCTAAGAATCTGCTTTTCTTTTTTTGACCCTTGTACTGGTGTTGGCTGGGACAGAGTTAATTTTCTTCAAAGTAGCTCGTATGGGACCATGTTCTGGATTTGCAATCAAAACTGTGTTGATAGCACACTGATTGCTGAGCAGCATTCACACAGCATCAAGGCCTTCTCTGTTTCTCACCCCATCCCACCAGTGAGCAGGCTGGAGGTGCACAAGAAGTTGGGAGGGGACCCAGATGGGACAGCTGATCCCAACTGGCCAAAGGGATATTCCATACCACACAACATCAGGCTCAGCATATAAAGCCAGGGGAAGGAGGAGGAAGGAGAGGACATGCAGAGTAATGGCATTTGTCTTCCCCAGTAACCATTATGCATGACGGAGCCCTGCTTCCCCGGAGATGGCTGAACACCTGCCTGTCCATGGGAAGTGTGAATGAATTCCTTGTTTTCCTTTGCTTGTGTGCACGGCTTTTGCTTTACCTCTTAAACTGTCTTTATCTCAACCCCCGGGTTTCCTCACTTTTAATCTTCCGATTCTCTCCCTCGTCCCACCATGGGGGAGTGAGCGAGGGGCTGCGTGGGGCTCAGCTGCCCACTGGGGTTAAAGCACAACAACCCTCTAGTACATACATACATGTGGTGTGTCTGGCTGTCTAGCATTGTCACAGACTTATGGAACTGCACAGTTCAGCTTTTCTTCCCCCTTAACCACCCTTCTAGCCACCACATAGATGGGATAGCAGCAGTGCGCTGGAAACTGAAGGACCAAAGCAGCACACGGCCAGCCTCAACCTACACGGGGGCTGACTAGTTTTAAAAATACAGTCAGTAGAACAGCTCTGGAAGAAAAAACACCCAATAAAACATCGCAGAATTAGCCTGTTTAATGAAAATTGCATCAAGAAGAGGAGAAATTAAGACAAGAGAATACACCCACTTGTGTGCTCCCTGTTAGCAGATTAGTAACTACTTATGACTTGTCCAATCAGGATGTGTTAAGCCAGTATTTAATGCTGTAGGTCCTGAATGGTTTACAGATACATGCAAAAAGAACAGTATCTCCCTTCTCTGTAGAAATAGGTGAAAACAATTCGTTAAAAGTAATTTCTTTGAACTGTTTTTCCCTTCTCATTATCTTAACTGATTAGTGAAACACTGAATTTTCAGACAGTGCTGCACAAATTGTGTGCACACTTGTGCTTTATTGTTTAGATGTTTCTTGCGTCAGTACTGCAAATGTATTTGAGCCAGATTTGTAAATCTAACTATAGATCTATATAATATATATGCATCAACATTAATAAAGGGCGGAAGCATCCACAATGAACGATATTATGACGACATTTGAATGTCTGAGTGTAACGCACTGCCTCATTTCCCAGGCCACTGATTAAAAAACAAAAATAAAAAAGCACCAATCAATCCCCAAGATGTTTTACTTTAGTCAAAACTCCTTTCCTTCATTTTAAATTTAAAAAGCTCTGTATTTTGTTTGATGTAAGACCAGCCCCAAATTGACATATGAACTAATTATTAAATGCTTTTATCTTCACATCTTGTCCTATCATGCAAGGTCTATAAGTGTTGCTCTGGGAAGGAATAAAATATGTGCCATTAATAAATTAGATGGAGTCCTTACATTTCTTATTGGTCTCCTTACCACGTATTTTAAATTGCTCCAAAAGGAGAGACTCATTTTAGTGGTTTTTCCAACAGGTTGAGAGCTGTGAAATAGGTCCTGGGGCACAGTACTATTAAACCGAATAGGAATTTGAGATTTTTCTTGCCTTTTCAAGTTTAAAACCAGGCGACTTTCCGTCTACAACTTCTACGACTTCTACAACATGGAAGCTGATTTTCATAGAAATAGTACAAGTATATGACATACTTATGATATAGACATATATATATGCGCTCCCTGCCACACTCTCCGAGAGCTACTCTTTCATTATGACAGCCAAACCATTGCTTTTATATCTGCATTCATTCTCTAAGAAAAAACACTATCTCTTCTTATTTCCTAAGTTTCTGCAATGACCCTAACAAAAGCCAACAAACCGAATGATGAATGTGGAAGGCTGGTGGGGATGAAATGTGGCTAAATGTTCACATCATGTACAGCATAGATCTTACTGAAAATCAGAATGTAGTTTCAATCCATTTTCTTATTTACCAAAATCTAACTGTGTTTAAATGTTTCTTTTCCACCTTCAGAAGCGTTGCAAGGAATAAGAGTGAATGATGTATTTCTGCTAAGAGGTTCAAACAAAGGAGTCTTTTCTCAAGTTCATATGTAAAATGGAGATTGTGGGATTTTGACAGGTAAGATGTTTATAAACCATAGTTTACATTTGTGTATTCATCAAATACTGAAACAATCCAAGTGAATGTTAGACTTCGATACATTGCGTAACAAACATCAAAAGAAAAGTAGAGGATTAGATGCATGTTAAAATACCTGCAGATGTTTTCTTTTCTTAAGCCAAGTTAACACCACGTACATATAGCACTTCAAGATATATAACCCCTTTCTTTCATAGAGCAGTACTAACGGATATTTAAAAGTAAGTATTTTAAGAAAGCATGATAAAAATCTAAGGTTTTACCACCAGAGAAAAACTGTGCTACTGTGACTGCTGCACTCAAGTCCTGTTCAGATTTTGGCTAATCACAGCTCATGCTAAGACCTGATGTATGCTGGGAGCAGCAAGAGCACCAAGTAGGCAGGACAGGTGGACAGAAAGGGCCATTATGCAGCCATGACCACCTGCAAATTGCTGCCTTCTGCAGCCAC